CCCCCCCCCCCCAAAAAAAAATAAAAAAAACAGTAAAATAACTCCCTAAACAAACAGTAAAATAAATAAAATAAAATAAATGGTGTGCGCACCGGGCGCACCTGCGCCCCGCCAGCGCGCACCCCCCAGCGCACCGCGCACCTCGGGTCCGCGCACCGCGCAGCGCACAGGGTTGATGCGCCGCAAGTATGGTCTGTACTTCAACAGTTCATGGCTTGTTGGTACAGCCGATGCTCGGACTGTTGCTGAAGTACAGACCCATGTTCGAATCCATATGATGCCATCAAATGACCAGAAGAAGACCATTGTGATCATCGGCTGCCGGTCGATTCAATAATATGATATCCGAAGGCCATCAGCGCCCGTTTCAAAGATGGGAGAAGAAAAAGGTATTTTGCCCCTGGAAGTTTTGTACCATTCGATTGAACTGCGAACATTTCTTGGATATCCCAGTCTGTTAAAAAGCTATGTATGTATTTTGTATTGCTTATCATTTGCCTTTTAAATTTTTAGTACTTTTTACTTAAATACCAAAACATTTGAGTGGCATATCGCTGGCGAACTTGCAGTCGCAATGTCTTGAACGACGAATCTGGCTGTCCACCTCTGTTCTCTTTTCTCTGCCTGTGAGCAGTGTCACGTAGGAACCGCGTGTTCCGGTCGGGTAAATGAGAGTGACACCATGATAGAACTGAAAAGTTGATTAAACTCAGTAACAAGCGAAACCTTTGAAAACTTATAAAAAGTGAAGGAAGACAAAGTAGCATTTTTATTCAGGGGAAGGGAAAAAAAAAAAAAACCACAATCAACTTGAATCAACTACATTAAGAAGGATGGGACTCGAAAGTGGGGATCTGAATCAGAGGTCGGCAGATTGGCATTCATGTCAACAGAGATGACGCAGAGCATACTGATACAAGGGGACGTTTTCGACTGAGCTCTGGACGTAATTGCGATCACATGTGCATCGGGGCTGGGCTGTAATTGCCATCAGATACATCCAGGGAACTCCTAGTTTGTATACGGGGTCACTGTTGATGCGTTGAAAAGTGAAAACCTTTGCGGAAGGAAAACAGAAAACTTTTCAAGAAGAATCAGAAACAAATTGATGAGCCCGGGATGGGCCTGATGATGCAGGTTCCTTGTCTAGCTGGTGTCTCCCGAATTTGGCCGTTATTCCGGTCAGATACGTTCATGACAGTGTGCTCATGTGATCATACCCGCACTCAGCCTGATGCGAGAGAGAGTGTGAAAAAAGACGAGGGTTAGTTCGCAAACAACGACGAACAACGGCCTCAGGATGTAAGTTACTAGTGAGGGGAGAAACCGGTCAAGGCCCAAGGGTGAGGGGGAGGGTGAGAAAACATGACATTTGTTTTGTGTGTGTGTGTGTGTGGCGGTATGGACCACGGATCATATCGGAAACCGATCAGAATAGATTCAGAATAGATACTCTAGTCGATGTTAGCCAGAACGCCGGGAAACTTCGGGGAAAAGTCTTATCAGAGAAGTAGGGTGTCTGCAACAGGCACACCCCCTTCCCTCCTCCCCCTCCCCCTCTCCCTCCCCCTCCCCTCCTTCTCTCTCCCTTCTCCCTACCTATGTGGTAGACGATTCAAAGGTATGCGTTGTGATCCTTGTCCGGCGACTGCGCCAAGTATCTCATTGGTAGCAATTCATTTTAATGGATGTGCCAAAGGTGTGCACGGTGGTGTAGATCAGGGGAGACAAAAACGGGGAAGTGTTGAGAGAAAGGAAATAAAAGAGAAAATGCGGCCTGTACCTTGCTGACTGCTGAATGTGTACACAGTGTACTACACACCCATAACTGTCGATAAGTAGGTCGTGAGTTCAGATCCTGATGAATGCAATAGTGCCAGAGGGCTGCGACCTAATGTAACGAGTGTCGACTAAGGAAAGAATAGAGAGCGGTATAAGAATGCACCGCTCGAGAGGCGGTTTGCGACCGTCGAGATGGATCTATGGAAGACGCTGACCGGCACAGTACATTGCCATGATTTTATTTGCCTCCCGTTCTTGGCACTGCAGGAGTTCCTAATCTGATGGCTGTAAACTTGAGTGGGACGGCAATCGGCGATCTACTGATTGAGACCGCAACATATGGTTTGCGATTGAAGAATTGGAGCGAGAGGTCTCAAAGAGTGCAAACGTCAAAGGCCGGCGGAGATGCCGCACAGCTGGGCGAACACTTTCGTTGTCGTGATCAGGCATGTGCAGTGAGAGTAGGCGGTCCTGGGATGGGCCCAGGTTATCTTTCAGAAGACTGTGTGGGAACAAAAGGAGTCAGCAGTGCCAGTCTGTTCAGCTCAGGGAATCTTCAACAACATAGCCATCGGAATGAAAGCAATGAAATGGAAGATCATCATCATGGGGTCATGGCTTGCAGTGAGCGACGAGGTTCGCTGGCCGACTTGCAGGGCAATGCTGAATCTTGTGGCGTGCGAAGTGATAGCGGCGCCAGTTCTTTTGAGGGATGGCCAATTTGCAATTGGAAGTATCTGAGTGTGAAACGAACAAGGGTCACAAATGCCATTGTCAGCCATTTGGTCGGTAAGGGGGGGGTTACCCACTCTGATCAGTCTCTGTCAGCCTATCTCTCCTCCTCCTTGCCTCACTTGTGGCTTCTGGACTCTGGAGGGCTATGGTGTTGATATTAGGTGATCACAGTGATCCCACAGAACATACACACAACACACAGAGGATTGCAAGGTTTCTGCGCGTAAAGTCGACCACTTTTTTTTTTTTTTTTTTTTTTTTTCCGACCACTTTTCTCTCTCAAGCGTCTATCGAAGGGTATCGCTAACTCTGGGCGATGTGGTGAGTCCTTTTATCCATCAGTCAAATGCATCCTGGGCAGACTGTCTGTCCAGGTTCAACCTCCTGATGAGTCGGTGAAAGTCCGACGAAACAGTCTGTTCGGCACAGTCACACTTTTTTTTTAGTTTATACACTGTATAGCGAACATGGCAATGCACGTCTACCATGTTCGTCCATCCGTCTTCAATTGCCTCCTCACTCCCTTCCTCCCTCCCCTTGGAGGATTTCTGGAAAGATGATCACGAATCAGGGAACATCAGTGATGCTTAGGTTTTTTTTTTTTTTTTTTTTTCCTTAAAATTTTTGGACCGTTTGCTGTAATTTTTTATGCGTGTCGTCTTTGCACAGGGGCCAGGCCATGCTAATCTATCTCCTCTGTATCTAGACTCAGTTATAACTTTTAAGTTTTAATGGATTTCCTGAAGGACATTAGAGCGTGTTTTAGGGTTTTGGGAAACTGGACGCAGTGTATATTACTATATTCCCTTCCACCATCCGAATTGCAATCTTTGCTGATTTCTGGATTTCGATCAACAAGTACGTCTTTCGGGAAACTACCGTCTTGCGCTGAATAGAACCTATGGTCATTATGACCGTATCTAGACTCCAAGGTGGACCAAATGCAGCTATAATAATGACCGCATGTTCTATTTGGGGGAAATCGGTCGCTGATAGCAGCAAATGATATTCTCATTGCAGGGTTTCGTCCTCGATATCCGCCAAGGTGGACGGGTGTAGGGCCAAGATGTGAAGGCGGACCCTTGCTTTTTTTTTTCTTTTCTTTTCTTTTCACTCGATTTATGTGTGTCACTCTTACGCAGGGGCCATGCTGATCTTCTTTCTTTCTCTGTATCGTTCCAATTCTAACGATGTCCTGAAGGGCAGCAGCAGTCACAGGACACTTCCAATTGTAATGATAACTTAATAAGGAATACTTAAACTCCACATGTATTGCTTGTTGTTGGGAATTTTGGTGTTCAGCGCTCCAGGGCATAGTCTTTCTTGATGCGCGGCAAACAGAAGTCACCGGCAAGGCGCTTCAACCTCTCAAGTGTAAGATTTTGAGATTTGAAGTTCTGAAAAAAGTCAATTTTCTCTTGTATTCTGTGTATCACTTTGTTTGTTTCGGCGTGTGATCGTTGAGCTTTATATAACGAGTCCACCCTCCCCCCCCCCCCCCCCCCCCCCCCCCCCCCCCCCCCCCCCCCCCCCCCCCCCCCCCCCCCCCCCCCCCCCCCCCCCCCCACACACACCCTGTGGGCCACACATGCTGGACACCTCTTCCTGCCCCTCGTCTCCGGAAAATGAATCTTCCACCAGAACATCGGAAGATACACTGCCCAATATCAATAGAACACTAACTAGGGTCTGCACCTCCTGTTCAACTGCGTGTCTGTGTGTGCGGAGTGTCTCTTTGCACTTTTGTTGTTCCGAAAACTGAGCGCTTCTGAAAATAGTAAAATACCAAGGACAGGAAAACTGAGCGCTAAGAAAATTATTAGAGACCTTTCTCTTTGCATTGTTGTTCCTCCCTTTCTTTCACCCTTTTTTTTTTTTTCCGTCTTTCTTGTAACTTCTTTTATCGAGCTTTATGATATCCTTTTGCCCTTCGCTAATAGCTTGTTTGACCGCATATGTACACCTCAGCTCTACCTATTGTCTTACCATCAGCTGCAGATAGATCGTGTTGGGCCTAGCTGCAGATAGATTGTGCTCCCCTCTTTCGATGCAGATTCGCTGCAGATCAACGTCAATCTCTCCACAGCTGCGGGGGGGTTAAACACAATCATCACCCGTAGCTGCGGATAGATCATGTAATAACTACGAGTAATGGAAGGTTCCGGTAATGACCCACCTCCTTTCTCATCAGCAGTAAATAGAAAAACAAAAATGGAAAAGAACCATGGTTACGCCGAACCGGACACCAGACCAATCCGGATTGAACCCCCCCCCCCTATAAAAAAGAAAAAAAGAAGAAAAGGAAACGTTTTTAACTTTTTAGTATTTTTTTAATTTTTTATTTTTTCCCCCTTGGATTCGGCTTCAAAGATGGTCCTTGGCCAAAAAAAAAAGGATTTTTGTATTGAAATGCTGCAGAACATATATTTTTTTCCCATATTTTTTTGGATTTTTTTTTAAAGGCGGATTTGTTTTTTGACGGGTGGGGGGACGGATCCGGACACTCTGGACCGGACACCAGACCTGGACATCCAGACCCAGACCGTCCGCACTGCAGTCCGCACATCCAGATTGCAACCATGAAAAGAACTTTGGTCCTGAGTGGGGATCCGGGCCGCCCGGGTGACCGGCAGGGGCCCGGGGGAGGTCCCAGGCGGCCTGGCCAGGCAGGGCACCCGGTTGGGGTCCAGGCCCCCCCGCACTCACCTGTTGGGGGATTTCGGACCCCCTTTGTGTGTGTGTGTGTGTGTGTGTGTGTGTGTGATGATGTGTGCGAACACATATTGCGGACACCTCTGCGCAGTAAAGACCATGCACCATACCATTGCAACACTTCAGGAGGAGAGTACGCATCTGAGTGGAGTCGAGTCCAAAGGCAAGGAAGGGATAACAACGAAACACACAGGCCACAGACAACAAGACAACACATAGGCTGGAGGGCATGGGGGAGGAGGGAGGGCAGACAACACACAAGCAACAGACATGGCAGGCAACAAAAAAAATGACCAAGAGCTGGAAGGCACGAGGGATATAGGACGGCAGACAACAGCAAGCACACAAGGCAGGCAAATGAGAAAAAAAGTAAAGTCCATAAAAGTTTCAAAGACCGAAAAAAATAAAAACTGATGATGAAAGATTGTTTCGCCGGAGTTGCACCGACTCATCAGGAGGCTGAACCCTCCACAATCTGCGGGAATCTCCGTATTTGATGGTTTGGGTCATGAACCCTTTGACCCTTGTTGAAGGCAGACTGTCCGCAAGCGGAGCATAGCAGCGGGCGGCGACCCTGTGGAGCACCAGGCAGCACAGTAGAGGCAACACGGCTGCACAACGCCAAAAACGACTGCAAGGAACGACAGGCACGCAGGACCAAACACGGACGGCGCGGCCAGCGGATAGGCAGCAAGGCAGCAGAGCAGCGAAGCGCAAGGCAACACCGACAACACGGCCCCTCCACACAGCGAACACAGCAACTTGCAGAGAACCACATGCAAAGCAAGCGGGACAGACAGCAAGGCAGCGGTGGAGTGCAGACGAGGCAGTGCACACATCCAACACGGAGCAAAGCAGCGCATGACCTACTCACATCACAATTGAACCCTGCAGACTGTTGGTTCCCACCACCCACTGAGCCACGGAGTCACTCCGACGAGCATCCGCCATCCCCTACAGGCAACACAGACATCCCGAACTGAGCGCCCCCCATAAGAAAGCAGTAGGCACTCCAAACGAGGAACCACCGACTGTTTGGCACTACTCAAGGGTGCTCAGTTTGGGTAAGCACAAACACTTAGAAAAGGATCAGGGGGAGGACAGACAACAACAGGAAAACAGACAAACATACAACTGATTGTGTGTGTGTGTGTGTGTGTGTGTGTGTGTGTGTGTGGGTACGTGTGTGTTACGTTTTTATTGCGTGGCTTCTGTGACCGTGTCACAGCATGTTGCGTCACGACTTGCACTGCAAATCAACACCATGGAAGGAGTCACACCGTATCCTTGGGGTTCATGCAACGCAAGAGTCACACCGTATCCTTGGGGTTCATGCAACGCAAGATGATGGTCGAAGGATAAAGACAATACCAAGGTTTCACCACCATGCCACATCCAACATGCACAGGTGTTCAGGTTACGAAAACAGCACACAAACCATGATATTACCGACCTTTACATAATACAATCATTCCTAATAACCCGAGGCTAAAAAAATGGTCCCAAATTCAAGTCGGCATAACCCAAGGCATCGAAAATACTTTTCCCCAAAAGAATGTCGTCACGTGACAGGTCATTAACCCACCAAAATCAATGAGAAGAACTTCATTAGCAATCTATGACAGAATCCAACTACCAAGCTGATGAAGTGCAGAGATACTCGCCTCAGCCAGTAAATAGGAGCCGTTCGATTATCATGGCACATAGCACGGCCATTAGACCACCAAAATCAATCAGAAGAACTTCATTAGCAAATAGCCATCCACCATCGGCATACACGCATACCCAAGGAATTCTGAACTGACGTCAGAGTCATAAAGCAGAACACACATCAACACCTAAAGCCGGATGGTCCGTAATAAAACCTGAGGCGCAACACCAATTCCCTATCTGGTCCATCTCAAGCAATGATTACCTCGATCCTTCCCACCCAAGTTAACTCCAATACTTCCCGTGGATACGAACCATCACTCCACCATTCCCTAATCATTCAGCGCCAAGCACAGAGTAACTAGTCATACTACGCCAACACATAAAAACAACGCCCAACTTGCAAAAGCAACATAAGGGACTATCATATCAGCATCCAATCGTCGTCACCACGAGTGGGAGCATTCAAAGCTACCCGTCATACCTCGCATAGCATCCGCTAAGATTAGGAGGCCAGAATTGCTGATACAGTATAGTCTTCTATATTTTTTATATATTAATCATCATCGTCAAAAAAAAAAAAAAGAAAAAAAAAAAGATCATTACGATGCCAAAGAAGAGTAACAGCAATCACAAGAATAGGAATGACCCATGGAGAGAGAGCCAATAGGATGAGGCGATCACACTAAAGATGCAGGAAGAGGAGAAGGCGGGTGGGTCCGCGGGGCAAGTAGAGAAAAGAGGGGAGCATGCGGACCGCATGGCAAAGAGCAAGAGAATAATGGAGAAAAAATAGAAGAGAGTAAAAACGAGGAAGGGGGCGGCGCATAGGAGGCAGAAAGTTGGCAGCAGAAAGCGGATAGGAACAGCCATGATTCGTAACCCGGGGGAACGCTTTACTACGAACACAGGTCCTGGCTCCTGGCAGTCCGAAACATCCCGAACCGCTTGTCAGCAGAAGACACTCCACTCGGCGAAGAGAATGAATTGCAACCATAGCTTTAATGCACATGACTACGCTCTGCACCATCTGGCAGACGGGGAAACAGCAGTCAAATTCCGACAGTCGCCGATGCACTGCAACGATCGGATCGATCGGTAGTCCAAAAATGAAAGGAAGGCGAGGTATGCCACGAACATCAACACTGAGATGAGCACCACGTGGACAGCGATCAGCAGATCCATCTTGACGAGCTTCCGTCGTACAAATCCAACGATGATGAATACAGAAGGGCCTACAACACGCATCAAAGGGCCTATTCCATCCTGGCTCTCAACCAAATGTTCTTCGTACAAGGCAAGGGTTCTAAATTCTAATGTGGGTACCAGATCAAACATAGGAAGGTCAGTAATCCAACATAGTCCACCATTTTTTTAAAAGAATTCTTTTAATATATACATATATATTGTTGTCCTCTTCTCCCTCTCTGCCTACGGTTTACCGGGCAGTTCTATTTGACGATATATACTACGACTTCGCTAGCTTCCTGCTACGGTTTTCTCCGGTCAGGTCGAGCGGCAGTGGTCGGGGCCGTTACTACGCGGCCATGCTGTGCCTCTAGTGCCAGCGGCGTGTCTGGAGTGTATTTTTTGGCTGTGACAGACCTTTCTTTGTTTC